AAAAAAAACCACTGTACCATTCTAAACCCAGATAAACAAAGTTCCAATACCATTCAAAATTTTTGTGCATAAAACTTGGTAGCAGAAAGCACGACAAACAAACCGGTTAGAGAGATTAAAAGTAGCGAATTGTCCCCGTGCCTGATCCATAACATGGGCTCTCATTGTTTCCTCAGCTTGGGCGGCCAATGCCTCAGGAATACCATCGACAAGAGGTGCTATGATAAGACGCGAAGTGATAAATGTAACATCGGGACCTCGAGTACCATAGGTTGACTGCAATGGTCAGTAAGCTGCCGAATGATGTAAACTAAAGCGCCAGAGAAAAAGTATTTTCGCTTCGTTTATGACCAAAGTTACCTGTACTGTCTGAGCAACAGCAGCTGTTCTGTCTTTAATATTTTTGAACCAGGACATCCCCTGCCCTTTGATAGCACCAAGTACTGCTGACCCTGCTTGCTGCATTGTCTGATCCTGAAAGCTCATCCAGCTAGTTACCAAAACTGTTCCGAGAAGAACAGGAAAACTTCTGACTGGACCACATCACTAGGATCACAAAGGCCGTCAGAGCTCTACTGCGCAGTTCTGATATAATGAAAAACAGTTGTATTCTCAGCAAAACTTCTTCGCCAGTCTGCGTGATGAAAAATTGCCGTATGAGGAAGTTGTAAAGATGTAACCGAATGAAAAGAACTATGACTGCAGGAGAAATTATTATTAAACTATGAAAAAATTAAAACTAATAGTCAAAATCAAATTTTTCCTTCTCTGCAAGGGAAAGGCAGAAGGAACTGGCCCGAACATCTACCGCTGTACGAATGATACTACATCGCCTGACAGTCGGCCTGCTAGCGACCACAACGTCTGCTCAACGGTTCTTTTAATAAAAGCAGTGAACCGGGTTCCACGGTCGGAAATACGTTTAAAAAAAGACAAAAACCAACACAACTCACCAAAACCAAGATCCCACATTTCCGCCTGACAGTCAAAGCCTATGGAAGAGGTAAACAGAGCCGGCAGGCATTAAAGCATACGTGCTCATTTTTGCGCTGTATTGACGGAGATCGCCTTGGTACATTCGTTCCTTCATTCACATACGGTTCGGTTTGAAGCTGACCTTCAAAAAAAGA